TATATATATATATATATATATATATATATATATACGCGCTCACCTGTAAAATTAATCGAGCACTTGCGAAGTTATTTGATGTGAAAATCATTTTTGAAAAAACAAACGCTCAACAAGCACCACGAAGCACATCCCCATTTTATAATTTTTGTTTTTTATTTTTTCTTACTACTGCTCGATAAATCCAACATCGATTGTTTGCATGCGATTGTCTTCGTATCGATAATTTAATAGTACAAGGAATTTTTCTATTTGTTCAAATTAATTGAAAAAAGAAAACGATTATAAAAAAGAAAGAAAAAATTGTTTGTATACTTCGTAGAGAGATCCTCCGCTTATACGCACACGTACATAAAAAATGAAAACTTTGGCAAGATATTATTAATATTTAAAAGGGGAAAAAATCAGTCGCGATCCTTTTACCAGATGTTTCCAATATGTTTCTCATAATAACGTTGACGAGATAGAGAGACACAAATATTATTATAATTTGAAAATCTAGTGTCAAAATCATATACAGAAATTCGTAACTTTGTAATAAGAATAATATTCAACTGTGTACGCAGGATAATATATCACCATTGACGATTTCAATGTAATAGGATATTGTAGCATTCTGTATTATTGTACCCTTGAACAACGATAATAATTTATCGATATCATTTATATACGAATGCGCACGATTTGTATTTTCTAAAGCAGAAAAGGGAAAGAAGAGACATCATAATAATTCGTTTTAAAATTTAACTGATTTTTTATCTTTACGAATATTACGTTTTATTAATTTTTGACGCGACCTTAACATTACAATAGCAAATTGTTTTCTTATTTTATAATTTAACTATATTATAATATGAAAATTCGTGTTATATTTTTCTCATCGTAATTTTTATTTCGTTTAATTCGACGAATTTTCATAACGCGAAAATGAAGAAATATTTCCAAACGATGTCACGCGAAGGAATTTTATAATTTTATCCTCTCTCTGTTACAAATTATTCGTCCGTTTTGAAACATCTCGCATCATGATTCATCAACGGATCTACACTGGTTTGGTTTAATCTCACAGATTAACGAAAATGAGTCTCGTCGTATATTCGTTGAGCATATTAACGTATAGAAGAGATATTAATATCGGAGTATCGCGAAACTATTTCACAGAAGTCATCGTTATTTGGTTTGATGAATTCAATCGTATTCGATGATGTTTAGTTAATTAAAGAAAGAATCAACGTGTAAAAGAGGGAGAGATAGTGAAAGGGAGAGAAAGAAAGAAAGGAAGAGAGAGAGAAAGAAAGAGAGAGAGAGAGAGAGAGACTAGCATTAACATGCACAGCCAATAATTACGACAGGTGTTATAAAATTCAAAATATAATATTTTCTATCTCGTTTAAATTCATTAAAAAATATTATTGATAAATTAAAAAATCGATATCTAATAATATTATATTTGAATTTTTAAAATAACAAATAAATTAGTTTAATAAAAATCTTTCTCTCTCTCTCTCTCTCTCTCTCTCTCTCTCTTTCTATTCCTCTTCTTCTCTTTTTTTCATTTAACTATTTGGTAGTATAATATATATAAGAATTGTGTTTTTTGTTTTTTTTTTTTTTTTTTATTAACTCGACTCCGAGGTTCTTTCTTGTTCTCGTAGGTGATATGGTAGTTGGTTGGTTCTTTTTTACATTACTTGTCGTGAATCGGTGCAAAAAAAGTCAAGTCAGTGGTACGAAGTGGACAAGCCATAAAGTGTAAAGCTCATGCCAATGATCCGTGGCGACCTTTAAAGGGAACACACCGAAAGTGGTTAAGTTAACCAGTAGTAGCATGGGGTCGGTCGATCGATCGTCCCTCCCTTCTCAGAGGGTGTAATAAAACAAATGATATCCTATACACGCGTGCGCGTTCCCTTATTCGCGCGCGAAATTTAAAATATTAATACCCCCTATATATTTGATTAAATTTTCTGTCATTATTAAACGAGAAATAATATCTACAAAGTAATTTTCCAAGATAACAAAAAGAAAGGAGGTAGTACAAAAATTTATGAAATTTATATATAATATATAGAATTTAAATTTATTAATTATAGAGTGTGTGTAACAAATTTATTTATTTATTATTCATCATTATTACGCATAGTTTTGTTCACGATTTAGGATTACCTATCTTCCTCGTGTTCGTATAAAAATCTTTTAGATAGATTGAATAAAAAAACGATCACTCCTCTATCTTTCTCTTTTTACCTTTATCATCATTCACTTCGTATTACACGCGTTATTAGAACGAATAATATGAACGATGAAGGAAGCTTAAACGAGAGAGAGTGTTCAAGGCGGCGGGACATGTTTTCTAACCAACTGTGCGTATATACGCATGAAAAAGCGTATGCTAATACGAAACTGTAATACCTTACGCGTATAACAGAATCAACACTCGTTATTCAAATAAACGTGCATACAATTGTGTTACACACATACACACACACACACACCCACACACACACACACGCATAAGCACACGCACGCTAATACGACGATTGAGAATTGCTCGGCATCGTTCGTGTAACATTAATTTGCTTTTACGTTGAAGCGAGAAAATCATTTTTAATGATAGAAACGCGTAAATGAAATCAAACCAACATATTCTGGTTTATGATTATTAAGTCAGTCGAATCACTAAATCATATACGAATGTGTTGGTTTGATCTGTATAATATATCAGCGTGTTCAATAATATTCGTATTCAAAATTTACATTTTTTGTATGTAATTAAATTATCAAACTAATTCGAAGATTTTTTGGGTTTTTTCTTTTGGTTTCTATTTCTTTTACTTTCTATTATTAATTATCGATGATAATTGGATCGTCAATTGAATTCTTTCGATGTTTTTTATCACACGTTTTAATCACACACACACACACACGTTTATTCCTTTATATATTATAATACATCACGATCTCAGTGCACTCTTCTACCATGTCTACGTAATTTATTGATAAATTTTGGGCACAATGACAAAAAATAGAAAAAAGAAGAACAAAAAGGTATATATATATATATATATACACATATATATTTCGAATGCGTGATCTTTATTCTGATTTCAGTACGTTTCCGGAATGGGAACTTGCGGGCAAACGAGTAGCGTTAGTTACAGCAGTGTCAGCCAAAGCAGCGATGGGGGTGCCTGCGTGTCTGGAACTGGTCTACCTAACTATAATACTGGGGGAATGTGACGTCACCCAGGGGCCCGTTCAGGGCCACGTCGTGAAAGAGCCATACGTTTCCGGGACGCGTGATACGATAATATACCATCATCACATGAGTACTAAATACACATTTTACACGTGTATTATATGGGAAATGGATCATTCCAAAAAAAGAAAAAGAAAAGAAAGGATAACGTATGACAAGAGGAATACGGGAACAAGTGATCTCACTACACGTGTTGCTACGTTCGTAAATTATACTAATTAATTTCGTTTATTTGTAGCGCAATAAATATACCTATACAAAATACCATAGGTAGGAAGATATATCTAATTTTACATTAGTATTATAATGTTTAATCATTTTTACGCGCAATCTTTTTGATATTTTTAAACAATACTTTTTCTCAATATCATTTTTCTCTCCCTGTATGTATTATTTTGTTTCTATTTTTTTTTTTTTATACTTACCTTTTTTCCTTCGCGTCTATTCGACTCGTAACGAGTTGATAACGACGTTGACATTTTTCGATAGTTACATTATGATAATTATGCGATAACGAAAGTAATGGGATATTAAACAAAGGTTAATATTTGTTTAAAAGGAAGAAACACACTTTTGGAAGTAAATAACATTTCGTTTGCTTCTTGCCTTCTTACATATTCCTTATCTTTCTCTCTCTCTCTCCCTCTCTCTTTCTCTCTCTCCCTCCCTCTCTCTTTCTCTTTCTATCTATCTATTCAAAAAGTATTGTTAAATATTTATGCAGTAGAGAGATAATTGTTACGCTACATATTAAATCTTGAGATCAGTATTGAAAGAATCGGAAAGAAAATCATTCATTTTTGCGAATGACGAACTTTTTGCCGTTCGAGTGTTGTTAAAAAAAAAAAATCACAATTAGATAGATAGACACATAAATATATATTATACAATTAATCTAAATCTATAGTGAACGCGCGTAATAATAATAATAATAATAATCATCATCATTGATGCGTACTGACGCGCACATATGTGTATATATTAATAAGCAAATATATTCGAAATGAAATCTAATATAAATTATGATAATATGTATTATCACGTGTGCTACGTATTGCACAAATTAGGAAGCAATTTTTGATATTGAGAAAAAAAAAAAAATATGTGGAAACGAACGATTCTCTAGAGCTTTGGATACTTTTTACGTAAAAAAAAAAAAAAAGAAACTTTAAGACGCGCGACCAAGAAAAAAAAAGTAAATAAAACAAAAAAAGAACAAGATTAAAAGATTTAAAAAAAAAAAAAAATAATGAAACGAAACACGATGGACATGATTTAACTCCAAAGACTCCGAAGTACACTTTTTTTCTCTATCATATCCCGTACGATTGGGGAAGTATATGTGTATATGAGAAATAAACACATTTACGAAAAAAGTTCGCGAGTTTGGAAAACGAGAAATAATATAAAAGTAAAAAGAAGGCAGTCATTTCGAATCGATAAAATGCAAGAGTCTGGATAATAACTAGCTTAGACCTTGATAAAATATGTTACGCTCTACTTGCATATCTTAATGTACGTTGCGTTAGATACAGTAATTCATAAAAATATTCGGATGCCAAGGTATCAGGAGAGGATGGGGGAATTTATGACTAATTTATTTAATTATATTTAAGCCAACCCAATATGTTCGTTCTTTTTTTTATTACTTTTGTTTCAATTTGTCTTTGATATTTATGATCGGTTTTTTGAATTTCTACGATCCTCGATCGTTTAATAAATTTCTCAATGAAATATAACATTAGATCGTGTTACCAGATATTTGATTAAAAAAAAAAAAAGAGAAAAAAAAAACTGTAAACGAATGAACTCAAGTGAGATAATATGATGATACCTTAGCGTTTGAATAATTTTCTTCGAATGATTGTGATAATAAACGCGTCGTCAGGTCTCTTTGGAGTGTTAAAATATTTCAGAAAATCATTCTCCTAGCATAATAATTTAATGACTTAATCTTCGCGTAAATCATATGGTACAACGTCCATCGAAATCTATGAACGAAAATCAAAGGCGAGAAATGAAATTTTAGCCCGTTGAACCAAAGCCGAAATAGAAGAATATAAATTATAATAAAGCCAAAGGAAATATAATAATGATAATTTGGAAAAATCGTGTAATTGACCTATTCAAATGTATTATATAACAAACAAAAAAAACAAAAAAATAAAAAAAAAACAGGGAAGAATAATGTGTTACTTACATTATCGTTAAATGAGATTCACGAGAGAGGATCGTATTTTGTCTCGTTAATTGGATTTCAGAATTGCGACGAGATATGTGGCTCCATCAATTTCTCATAAAAAGGCGTTTGGAACTGAAATATTAAATAAAAAACGGTCAAGAGGATTCTATTCTAATCTAATAAGTATAAATATATATATATATATATATATAAGAAAATTTACGTATCTCGAATAAATATTGTGCGAAATATTTCTAGTCACATGTGAAAAAGAGAATAAATTATAAAAGACTGCAACGTGTACCTTTATAAATTATACAATCTTAATGCTCTTCAATGTTACAATCTATAATCTCTATACACAAATCTGTAAATAACTCGATTATTCGTTTAAGTTAAATTGTGCTAAAAAACATTCGAATGTATGTAATAAAATATTATGTA